AGCATGTAATAGCCAATAATTACAATATATATCATTGTAGTTCCACAAAAATTGTAGCACACATAGATAACCTCATCTAGTTCAGACTACAACTCTTACTTTTGGAAAATGTGCTAAACTCTATTTTTTTCAGATTTTTCACCATTATTTTAAGCATATAAAAGCCAATAATTACTTATGACTTAGATTTATTTTGTCATTTTGTATTCACAAGTATAAACAAAAAGAAATTCATTTAAATCGGCTCTAGAGAATTTCATATTTTAAAGTGCAGCTTTGAAAACAATAATACATAAAAAAAAATAGTAAAACCTCCTCGCAGGGATACAAAGTAGGTCTGGCACTTCTTCCCACCTCTTTGCCTCTGAAAACCGAGACCTCCACCCTATCTGAAGGTGCAGGGGTGCAATGTCTTCATTTATTGCTCCATGGTAAAACTCACTAGAAAAAACAGACACTTTGTCCTACATTTACCATAAGCAAAGGGGAGCAGAAAGAAAATCAGATCATGTTTTGTCTGCCCCAGTTGAAAAACTGAATAACCTTTGCAAAGCTAATTACAGTAGAAACAAAGCAATGAAATAACAAACATCTGTGTTCAATTAAAGTGATAAACATATTAACTATCAATTCATATCCGTCATATCAGATGAACAATACACCTTGTAACATTTATACTGGCTTAATATCATTTGTTTACACATATATATAAATTGACACATTTTGTTACAACTTTTAAAATCTTCAAAAAGTGAATTTATAAGTTTTATCCCAATTATGTTTTTGTTCTGGTAAGTTAATATAGAACCTTTTGAACCGCTCTTCGTCTGGCCCTTCAATCTTCTGTTTGCCTGCAGGCCTCTGGTTGGATGGTGGTTTCCATGTGTGGGGGGGCCTTGGTTCATGTACAGCCCTGCGTCTCGATGGTGGCTTGTATGCAGATGATGGCCGGCATTTATGTAGACGCTTGGGTTTGCGTTGAAGCCTCTGTTTGTATTCTGTCTCCTGTTTTCATGGTGGGGGCCTCTAACTGTGGAACCACATCTGTTTCTTTGGGGCCTGTTTTGCATGGGCGCCTCTTTTTGACTGGAAGCTTCAGTTCTGTTTGTGAGGAAGCTTCATATTGTTCTTTTTTCAAAGGAAGTTTCAACTCTGCTGTCAATCGCGAGACTTGACTCTTCAGAGATTTGATCAGTTCCTCCTGTTCCTTGAGTTTGGAGTCATGTTCAGTTTTAGTCTTCAGCTGTTCCTCATATTTGAGCCTCAGCTCTCGTTCTTCTACAAAAGCCTCTGCCATCCTCCCTTCTCTACTGCCGTTTTTCTCAGCCTGCCTCTTAAGGAAGGCAAGCTCATGCAGGACACAGATGCACACTGTAACTGTAGGAATGCGTGGTAACTTTGAAGCACCTGTAGGCTGGGTTACAGTGAATGTTTCCTGCTTCTCCTCTTTCTCTTCACTTTTGAGTCTCATGGGACGTTCACTTTCTAAACTTTTTTCCAGTTCTGCGATTTGTTTCATCTGAGTTTTGCAGTCAACCTGAAACTCGATTCTTGGTTCTCTCTCCTCATGCAGATCACAAGTCCTCTCGTGCAGCTCTTGTTTTAGAGCAGTAACCTGCTGAGTGAGATCGTTGATATGTTTGATAGCCTCTTCGATGCACATTGAGCGAGGGCTCATCGTAACCGCTGATGCATGGCGTGGCATCCTGTTGCTTTGATAGAACTCTGAGCGGTCAACATCAGTTTTTCTGTTGGTCCCGGTGTGCCATGGCTTTCTCTTGTTTTTATCTAGTTTGGAAGACACATAATGAACTGGGTTATCAAAATGTGGCCAAACTGCATGTTTGTATTGACCCATAAAACACTTACCATGATGGTGTGAGTACGGTGCCTCAGTAGAAAGCGCAGCAATGGGGTGAGTCTTTGGCGGAGATGGCTGACATGCTTGCTGGACCTCGTCTGAGTTGAGGGACGTAGATTCAGCAGCGAGAGATGATTTCAGCTGAACCTCTGCTAAGGGGGGAGCCTCAATGGTAGCAGAAGAAACCGCTTCCCCTTGGATCTCTGGACCATCTTCTGTTTTGCTGAGATGCAGCTCGCTGGTGACAGAGCTGTCATCTTCAGTTGGGAAAATAATGGCGTCATAGTCGACCTGGATGGGGAGGTTAATCATGAGTTTGTCTGTTGACCCCGGTGTGCCATGGCTTTCTCTTGTTTTCATCTGTTATGGAAGACACATAATGAACTGGGTTATGTCGACCTGGATGGAGACTGAGGCCAGTTTGTAATGATTCCTGAAGCAACCTGCACCAGAGTCCAATATGAAGTGGATCAAGACCATTTCAGCATGTAAGACTCGATCCAGTTATTTGGTCTGGACCAGATTTTGCTGGGCTTAAATCAGACCTGCACAAAAGATCAGAACCAAGAGGGGGAAACAAACTCTGGTCGATTTAGCTTAATATGGCTTATTAGTGCTTTTTATAAAGCTTTGTGCCACAGAAAGTGCTTTAGAAGAAAAAAAAAAAAAAAAAAAAAACAGAGCATAGATAGATTTATGGAGGAAGAAGACAGAAGAGATCTTAAAACGGATTCAGAGGATAGCTATCATTTTTTTCTATCTTGTTTGAGAAAATACTCAAGCATAATATCAAACATAGAGGATTTTTTAAAATGACAATGCACATAACAGAACATTCTAGAATAGGGCTCGGGATCCGTGTTGCATTGTGGGACGTGGCGGCCATATTGAGGGCTACGCGAATGTAAACATAACTCTGATACAACGTTGTTGTTGAAAGAAGAGACATAGAAGTAGAGAGAAAAAAGATGTTAAAATCCCGAAAAGGATCTGGAATTTACCGGGAAACATTAAATAGAGAAGCCACGGACCGGTATGTTGACAAAATCAGCATTATTAATAATTTGGATCCATATGAAGTTCCAAACAATGAGTGGAGCACCGATGAGTGAGCGCCTATACTTCAAAACAGCTCCGAAGCTACAAGTCCTTGGAGTCTCATGTGCAGTTCATGAATGGATGGGTTCACGAGCTGCAGATCATAAAGCCAGCAAACAGTGGGAACACAGTAATCCGTACAAAGGTAAGCTGTGCTCAGACAGGCTCTGGAACCTGCTAGTTTAGTAACTGCTAACCGCTTGTGCTAACAACCACTCACGCATGTAATGTACTTTTAACTAGCTGCTATGTGTTTCAAAGGTGTAGTTAGTAACGTTAACTGCCAACCCTCCCTAAACCCTCCGGGTTTCTTACGTATTTGAGCCTTTTCCCGCTGTCGTTTTTATTATTTTCCTGTAAAAGAAAAACTTTGAAGGAAAGAAACAATGTAGGCTATAAAATAAAACCGTGCATCTTTAACTTACCAGAATGAAAATGCAGGGAACACACTCTCAATGACATCGGGATACTGCGGAAAGTTATGTTCGGTCGTCTTACAGCCGCGATCCAAGCTAGCCGACGACTCTTTATCTCTGACACTTGGTCTCCGTGGTTGCGCCTCCAGGCAGGAAAGCGGTGGAAGGTTAACCCATTTTCTATGTTTTTCCCATGGCGATCATGTGTTGCGCTGTTACAGCCCACAATGCAGCAACGGTTTACCATGGTTGAAATCAAGTTAAGGTGAAATTAATCAAATTAAAACACGTCTGAGAGGGAGTACAGTATGCGGTAGTCATAGGCAGCAGTCTGAGCAGCAGTAAAAGAGGCCTTCAAGATGGCAGCAATGCAAAGTGCTTAAACCATGACGACCAAGCCCTATAAGTACGGAAACATCTTTTTAATATGTAGTCCCTCAGGTTATCCTAAAAGATTCAACAAATATAATAAAAATACATAGAATTGCAGGTTCTTTTCTTTTTAGAATTATAACTGAAAGACTATTATTTCTATAACTCAATTCAATTATGCTCACTCTAGTACAGCTCAGTCCATAGATCTCTGATGGGTAACTTTTTCTTTCTATAGTTTCTTCTTGTGCAAATGCTGCAAAGCTGCCTCTCTGACAGTCAATCTCACACATCTGCGACTCAGCACCTGTGTCTTACCTTAATACCTTTCCTGTGATAATGCCCCTCTAGAAGTAGTGTTATCATTCTTCTATCTCCTATTAAGTGAGATCACATTGTACGATGTATTTCTAATATGAACTGTTTCACATGAAACACCAAGCTGTGATTACTGTGATTAAATTCAGTGTAAACAAATATGTTGCCACCCCTCAAAAATTCCTGCCCCCCCTCGCCACCCCATAAATATTTTTCTAGATCCGCCCCTGGTTGTGATCTAACAAAAGGCCAAAAAGAGAAATAAGGGAAAGTGCATTTTAACTCACAGCGTAACTCTCAGTATTGTTTGGTTTAACGCGTTTTGGAAGTGAAGGTGTCTCCCACTGCATGCGCTCCCCAGAAAGCCTGGTGCCAGCAGAAGTATTTTATGACGACTCCAGAAGAAACATCAGCTGATGCTTTTTAAACACGTGTCTGCAGAAACATACTTTGCTACCAAGCACCGAGCTCTTGCCACACATTTGTGTTCTGCACACAAACACATGCACTGTTTCTCTGAATACACCCACAGCTCAACTGTAGTAGGTTTCATGAGTGCCAGCAGAATAAAGGCTGCTCCCCCTACCTCTCTTTCCTACCTCTATTCTTTTCTGTCCATCTCGATCAGTCGCTGTCTTGTTTGTCGTGCTTTATATTCTGGTGCACCCCCCTTTTTCTGTAATGTTTTCTTTTTGTTTAGCTTTCCATGAAGAGAAAAGGTGTCCTACTTCTTTTTCACCCTCTCTGCCTCGGATCCAAGCACAGACTCTCTCGCTCTGCCTCCCTCTGGGTCTGTGCTCCCTATGCATCTTCTCCCTGTAACTGAGGGGAGCAGAGACTCATTTCTCCCCTCTTCCTCTTCCCAATCCTCCTCCTCTCCTGCTTTGCCTCTCATTCTCCGACTTCCTAACGCCGGGATAATGTTCTATTTCCAGCTGGTGATCATGGCTGGGACGGTGCTGCTGGCTTACTACTTTGAGTACACGGACACCTTCCCTGTGCACATCCAGGGCTTCTTCTGCTATGATAAGAGCTTCTCTAAGCCCTACCCGGGTCCAGAGGACACCAGCAAAGTCCCCCCCGTGCTCATCTACTCGCTCGTCACAGCAATCCCTACCCTCACGGTAAGATTTTGTTCCATTGATTTAATCATTTGGATGTAAAAACTATGCTAAAATATTTATTTAAAGTAAAGTTAAAGCTGCATAAATATGGAGGGAACTTTGTTCCGTTATTCCTGCAGGTAAAGAGCGTGTTTGTAAATGAAATATTATTTAAAAAAAAGGCAATCTTGATATAACTCAAAAATAAATTCTAATTATTATTTTTGAGAGTAACTTTGCTATTTCTTTAAATACATTTTTTCCAATCATTCTTTTTTACTTTTTTGTGATTTTATTTTTTGAACACTTTTTTTTTCACAATTTCATCAATTTGTTTTTCCGAATTGTGTTGTCTTTTAAATTCTATTCTTTATAAAACTCTTATACACATTTAAAATGTTCAGATTTTATTTTTCAAATGTATCTTTCTCAGATTGAGTTTTGGGAATTTTATTTCCTCCTAATTGCATTTTACAGATCAGATTCTCCTCAGTTCTGGGGGCGGGCCTTGCTTTGGAGTGAGTGCTGAGACGAATTTCTATTGGTCTGCATGGATGTTAGCATCAACATTTTTTTGGTCAATCGCAAGGGTGTGAAGCGATGTGATTTCAATTAGTAAAACAATATGAAAAACAGAAATTTGAAATAATACAATTTGTAAATATACAATCTTGAATTATTAAACTATAAAATACAAAAAAAAATTATAGAGATGAATCTAAAAAAGAAATCTGAGATATTAAGTTAAATGTTAAGCCTTCTTTTGATTAAGGAGTTTCATATGTTAACTTTTCTATTTACAAAACATGTTCTTTTCAACACAAGTGGAACAAAAATTTCTCCATACATTATTGTAATCCAAGAAATTATATAAATACTCAGAGTAGATCCACAGGGTGCCAGGAGGTCATCCTCTCCCTCTTTGAGAGAGAAGTGTGTGTGAATTAGTGTTCGTGTGAGAGGAGAGAATGACCTAAAACAACAGTCAGCGCTGACCACACTGAGATGTAATGAGAAGAGGCAGACAGGTCATTAGAGGAAGCCACGGAGGAACTAACGGTAGAGAAGCAAGTGGGAGATCGAGTGCAGATGTGTGAGTGGAGACAGAGTGATAGTGACGGCAAGCAGATGCTGCCTGGAAAGAACAACCTGAGATGAAAGATGCATAAAATAACAGTGTGGAGGAACTATCCTTCAAAACAGAACACATGTAGCTGAATTTAAATGCTTTGCAAAAGTATTCACACCTTGTTAAGGTTCTCCCACATTTTGGCACTTTTTGAGAGACAAATGCAAAGTAGCACATAATTGTACACATGCACATAATGTACATTTTAAAATGTTGCACACATACTTAATATTTTAAACAGAGATAGACCGACACATAGGCTGGCTGATTTTTTTTTTCTTCTATCACTATCAGCCAATGCCTGAATATGTCGGACGGTGTAGGTACCAGATCTGCTCGGGGCCCTGCCCCTTCTTATGATGTCATTATATGGCAACTCCACTCGGACAAACTGTATTGAACCCGTTTTTTAAGGATCAAATGTCTTTTGGAGTTTCAACATATTATTACCTATATTTGGTATTATCTTACATTTCATTGGTGATCTAAAGTACCCGAAAGTAGAAAACAATCGTCAGTCTTGAAGGAAATTGCTGCCTTCTAAGACAGACTGAGCTCATGGCATTTAACAATGTGACACAAAAAGTCTCAGTTTATTTTTATTCTTTTTATTTAGATCTGAGGGCAGAGGAGGACAAAAGGAACATCCTTAAAAATGGCTTTTGTAGATATTTTAGACGAAGAAAATAACAAGTTTTCTACAAGTAGAAAACGAACGGTTGTTGTTGATACGAATTCAATAGTAGTGTAGCTTAATATGGCTAACTGACCGAGCTAAAAGAGGCTAACCTGTTAGCTACTGAGCACAGCTAGCCACAGCGCTACCCAGCTCTCCCCCTTTATACCATGGTCTAACAGTTACTTTGTTCACCATAAACAGACTTTTTCCATTTTGTTATCGATCAGGTAAAACTTGGTCGGTCATTAGACACGCTAACAGACACTGTGTAATGTTATTTTCATTGTATGGGCAACCACTATCTTTTAGATCATGTGGCAACGTTTAGCCAAACATGTAGCGTTACGTCGCTGGGTGCGCAGGACCCGAGCAAATCTGACCACCTGAGCAGATCTGGTTACTACACCGGTTCATAGTAAACTAGTTCTCTAAATGGGGTGAAGAACCCCTAGGGGGGGCCCAGTGTTGTTGCAGATGAGTGTGGTTGAAATGAATTACATAAAGTAAATAATAGACTAAATAGATTGCTATTTGTTTATGATTGATAAAATATGAAATTCTGTTACACTCAAGATATGTTGGCTCATATGAATTGGTCCAAATAATATTACAAATTTGGGCTCTGTTAGACATGGCATGGGTGATGCGATACGATATGTGTCGCAATATTTGGGGCACGATACGATATTATTGTGATACTATAAAATCATTATATATTGCAATAATTTTACCTGTTGTCAAAGTTACATTTGTAGATACAAAAGCGAGTGCTGTATATGTTCATCAGAAGTTATTGATCATGTAATTTTTTTAGTATCCATGTTTTTTGGGGTTTGAGTCAGTCAATGTCTTCCACTTTGACTACCTCAACTACAGATACGATGCTGCGCTGCACAGCAATAGGGATCCAAAGCACTAGCTGCCAGAATGGCGGTGCAGATATCCCATTTTCCCTCATTGTTTTAAGTAAAAAAATGTTTGTTTTAAAAAAATCGATACTAGATACTGAAAGATCGATATTATATCTGGCAGCCATAAATCACGATATTTCACCAAAACGATTTTTTCCCACATCCCCAATTAGAGTGGTATCACAATAATCGGTATCGGTATTGGCCTTTAAAAACTCACATTGGTTAATTGTTACTTTAAGAATGAAGACAATTTTAGCCCTCCTGAGTCAATAAATACTGCAGCAGCATCATTTGTTGAAGTTGAGAATGCACATCTTTAGAATATGTTTCTACAAGCCACTCAGAAATATATGATCATTTTTTACTAACAAATGATTCAAGCTCAATCAGATTGGATAAAAACTGTCTGTGAACACAGATTTACACAGATTATCCACAGAAACCAATTTAGAAAAAGAAAAAAAGCAGACTCTTATTGCAATCATCCTTTCTTGGATTTGACCTGAATTCAACGTGCAGTTAAATCCTAACTCTGTAACATGCCTGTAAAGTATTAAAAACCATGAAAATATAACATGCAGGATGTTTTCAGCTAATGGTATTGCATATTTTATCTGCAAAGAGCATGCATCTAAGAGCAAAATATTGTAAACTGATGTCATTCTGAACCCTTCAATTTATTGCCCTGCCTTAGATTTAGGATTGCTGTCCTGAAAGGTGCACTTTCTATAGCCTGATAAACCAGAGTAAATGTGAGATTAAATCTGTAATTTAGTCTGGCCCCGATGAATAAGACTTTGGGAGATTGTTTATGAGAACAACCCATTGTTTTTCAAACCATGTCTGTGCCTATTGGTTAGGGCATAGGGTTTTAAATCCTGATGTTGTGAGTTCGGTCCCCCACTCCCAGAAACTGTCACTCTGGGTCCCTAAGCAAGACCCTTAACCCCGCACAATGGCAGGCCACTGCTCCCCAAGGGGATGGGTTAAATGCAGAGAAGTAATTTCTCAGTTCTAGGGCCTGGGGCATTGATCGAGGCTAGACCAAAATCGCAGGCAAAATTGATTTTGGTCTCTGGTGGGTGGGGCTAGTTTACCAGGCTTCACTTTCTACTCAGTTAGAGATTTTTTGAAACCTTTTCCATGTATTGCTCTGTATTTACCCTCATCTAATACCATTAGCTCTGACTGTGTTCCCTTTACCTTCTGATTAAAGCCTCCCTACAGCTTGATGCTGCCACCAACAAAGCAGCTTCTTTCACATGTTCAGCTGATGTGGGGCAAACATTAAACAACAAGTCTGATAGGTGTTCTTTTGCAATTATTGGCTTCCTCTACATTTCTTTCAAAATGTTTAAGGTTGTAGCTAATAATTGCTTTAGTGGTTGATTCATCCATTGATTATTTATCTGATTAATCAAATAATCAAAAAGAGAAACTCTTTACTCTGTAAGTTAACGTTTTTAGATGAAAACATTTTTTAGACTTTGGAAACAAAAATCCTCTGCTTGCATTTCAAATAATATAGACATAGACATGTGTAAGTAACTTTATATTGTATCTTAAATGGAAGATGTTTGATTCGCTGTTGATCTTTTGTCCTAATCACTCCTCTAAGTGGGTTATTCTTATTTTATGAAATGGTATAATCTACAATCTGTGTACAACCACTGAATTTCTTTAACAAATTAGTGGATTCATTCAATGATTAACCCCAATTAATTATTCTATCCCTAATAAAGTACATTTTGTGAAGTGCGCCATAAAATTTGTTCACTTAAACTATATGGGGGGCTGTATTAGGGAACAGTTGGTAGCACTGCACAGCAGCAAGAAGGTTCCCACAGTCCAAAAACATGACTGTTAGGTTAATTGGGATCTCTAAGGCCACCGTTTCTCAATATGTGTACTTGTGTGCTCTCATGTGCTTGTGAAAGGTCATCAACCTCAGCCCTAGTACTATTCCAATTCACAAGAATGCGAAGACCGAGAACAGATAAAGTCCCCGGATTTTGTTCTCGCCCCTCCCTATTTACCGAGTATGCATCATAGCAGACTTGTCCAGGGTGACGCACTGGAAGGTTAAAAGTTATCTTTTCTTTAGCTGTTGTTCAATAAAAGTACGTTTTAAGATCATTTGAGGCGAGAATAATATAGTTTAAAGCGGAGGTCTTCAACAGGGGGTCCGCGGAGGTACTGCATGGGGATCGCGAACTTTTGGTTGATTCATTTTTTTTTTTTTTATATTCCCTCCTGAATTGAAATGTCTTTGAATCCACATTAACATGAATTCAACAGA